GAAAGTTGGAAAACAGCCCCCCCCCGCCCCCCAATCCTCCCCCCCCGAATCCTCCGCCGCCCCCCCCGGAATCCGCCGCCGCCTCCTGCTAGAAACTTGTCTTGCGCCTTCTCCTTCCCTGCCTCCTTTGTTGTCCTGGCTCCTTTCTCAGGAATGCACAGGCTGGAGGGAGCCAAAAAGAGCGAGCGAGAGGGGCCCTCCCCCTGCTCCGCACGGAGAGCGGCAGGGGGGACGTGGGGAGCAGAAAGGAAGCCCCTCAGCCCCTCGCCTGGCTTCCTAGCAGCGGGGATCTGTGCAAGTAACGGGGAGGGGGGTCCCCCCACATCGGGGCCCGGTCAGCAGGCAGAGAGAAGAAAGCCGGAGCTCCCCCGAGGCTAAGGGGAAAACCCCTGTGGCTTGAACTCTTATGGCACATTTTGGGCAGGACAAAGGGACTGCCCAGTGCCCCAGAGCAGGCTGTGTGTGTGTGTGTCTAATTCCAACTCCAGTTTGTTCCACTTCCAGGCGCTGCCCTTTGGCATCCGAGCCGGATTCTGCTCGCTGCCCTCTGCCAGGGAAGCCACCTTCATACAATCGTAGACTATTAGGGTTGGAAGAGACCTCAGGAGGTCATCTGGGCCAGTTCTGGAAGCGCCCCGGTTTTCAAAACGACGGGCACCCATGATTTGTAAAAAGCCGCTGGGAGCCACAACCTCCGTCTGAATCCTTGCTCCGAATCTGCCCTCCGTTCAACGCCTTTGTCTGCGGACCCTTTTTTGGATCATGGAATTCAGACCCTCCCGGGCAGCGGTTTTCAAGCCGTGGTCTGTGATAACCCCTGCGGGTCCGCAGACTGTCTAAGATTTCCAAAGGGGGTCACTCCTCCATTTGAAAATTTTTAGGGGTCTGCAAATGAAAAAAGGTTGAAACCCCCTGATCTAGGGCAGTGGCTCTCAACCTTTCCAGACTCCCGTACCCCTTTCAGGAGTCCGATTTGTCTTGCATACCCCCTTCTCTACTTCCACACCCCTCACTTAAAAACTACTTGCTTTCAAAATCAGACATAAGAATACAAAAGTGTCACAGCACAGTTACTGAAAATAGTGCCGACTTTCTCATTTTTACCATATAATTATAAAATAAATCAATTGGAATATAAATATTGTACTCACATTTCAGTGTATCGTAGGTAGAACAGTATAAACAAGTCATTGTATGAAATTTTAGTTTGTACTAACTTTGCTAGTGCTTTTTATGTAGCCTGTTATAAAACTAGGCAAATATCTAGATGAGTTAAGTACCCCCTGGAAGACCTCTGTGTACCCCCCAGGATATGTGTAGCCCTGGTTGAGAACCACTGATCTAGGGCAGTAGTTTGGGGCTGCTAATGCCCCTCCCCCATCAACCTAAGGTTTTTGGAAGTTCCCCATCTCCGGCCCAGCTCTGTGATCATTCATTTCCAGTAAATCCTTTACGTGGATTTTGTATCACTCCAGAATGTATTTAAATATATATGACACATTAATGCTATAGATTATTATTTAACTATCTATTACTTAGCTATAGAAGAGCTACGTATTAGCTCATTTATATTCCGGTAGATTGTCCAAGCCACTTTTAAGCCCCATTGTGCTAGATGCTGGACAGTGTAGACATAAAAAACCAACAGTCCCTTCGCTCTAGAATTTACGCTCTGTATTTCCCCTCTGGTTCCAGGCTGTCGTTGCCCCAGTTTTTGTTCTACATGCCCACCAGCGCCCTACCCGTGGTGCAGACCCGCGTGTGGTGGCACTCATGTTGAAGACGGCATGGATGTTTTTACCACTGCCTCCAATTCAGAGCAACTGTCGACAACATGGGGATAAAAATACCAGCAGGTCCTGTCCCCCCTAGTTCCCCTGGGTGCTGCCTGTGGAGCACTATTCATGGACAGGGTAGACAAATACCAGGGCCTTCAGCAACCCGCAAAACCTAGAGGTGGGGGGAGGGAGGTTGGACCCAAATGTGCCACCCCTGGAACAAGCCTACGAGCCCAGCTGCATGTGTAACGCCGACAACACAGACCCCGGTCGTCAGTGGGCAGGATCAAACCTAGGATCTCTGGAACTTAGTGCATGAGCCTCTACCGCATGAGCTAAAAGCCAACTGGCTGTTAGCTAAGGCTGTCGAGTAGACTCATTAATCTCTCGCTAAGTGGTCTTGGTGCCACTAGAAGGGACAGAACCCCACACCCAGGACCAGGAGGTGTGGGTTACACATGCTGGCGCTCCAACAACCTGCTAATCTACAGTGCCAGGCAGCGAATTCAGCATGGCGACGGGGAAGTGGGTCCTAGCCTGCATCAGAGAGCAGACTACTGGCCCAGTCCCAGACAGAGCTCCCGCTTCGTGTCGACTTTTAGGACAGTGAGTGTACATCTGTATGAAGAGGCGGCAGCATGGGGACAGGGGAATGGTGCCGGATCACCTGGGCACCCCATTTAAACCACCTCTATCTCAGTTTCCCCCTCTGTAAAATGGAGATAATATGCATGCTGGTAAAGTGCTCTGAGCGTCTTACACAATAGACAGGAGCGAAAAGTTATGGTGCTAGTGGGGGAGGCTGCTGTGATGCAACAGCTGGGGGTCTAAGGTCAAGCCTAAAAATATTAAGCCTGTTAAATGTTTTGCATTTAAATATACAGACACAGCTGTTTAAATAACAATCCAAGGTTCTTAACCTTCTCAAACGTATTGCGCTAACCCGAAACACTAAACCACCACTGCGCTAACCCGAAACACTAAACCACCATAGGAAAGAAGGACAATGTGTTGTGCTAACCTGTCCAAGGTTTTAATGGTTTTTTAAAACCAAGGAATTTCAGCTTAGGTACTGCCCAGCTAAGGGTGAGAACTTGGCCCCCTCACAGAGTCACTTACTACTTCATAGCTGAGAATTTAGATGATCTGCTTTTAAAGTAGTAAAGAGATTCGCAGGGAAAGATCCAGAAGGTGCTGGAAAAGGCCCTGGACTGGGACTCGGGCTCTATTCCTGGCTCAAGCACCAACTTCCTGTGTGACCTTCACTTTGCTTCTGTCTTGTCTGTTTAGACTATGAAGCCGGCTCTACACTCCAGACTTACACTGGTATAACTATGTCGCTCAGGGGAGTGAAAAATCCACGCACGAGTGATGTAATTTACCGACCTAACCCCCGATGGAGACAGTGCTACATCGACAGGAGAGCATCTCCCATCAACACAGCAACTAGCTATGGGGGCTGGATCACTTGGTGATTACCTGTTCTGTTCAGTCCCTCTGGGGTATCTGGCATTGGCCACTGTCAGAAGATATCACACTGGGCTAGATGGACCATTGGTCTGACCCAATATGGCCGTTCTTATGTTATGTTCTCTTGCGGAGATGGATTAACTATACTGACAGGAGAGCTTCTCCCATTGGCCAAGGAGCATCTTTGCTTAAGCGCTACAGGGGCCCAGCTGCATTGGTGCAGCTCCGCGGATGCAGCATTTTAAGTGTAGATTTGCCCTAACTGTGACACTAGCAGACCAGGTGTCAGCTCGCGCCAAGGCCCCTAGGCCTCAACTGAAGACTGACAAATGTATAGCTGGAAACCAGTCTGGCTCACCTGCGTGTTCATATTGGTAAAATAGATGTTAAATTTAGAAGAATGGGTTTAGTCTTTATGGAACGCCTGTAGGATGCTGCATGTAGCAATCCCACTTATAACAGCTGTACCCCATGTTATAAGGGGTTTGCATTGTAAACCTCTGTAACTCACCCTGCAGGAAAGAAGCATTAACTAATGTAAGATGCTGGTTTCCTACAAAAGGTGTTAGTCCAGCCCACCAAGGCGGCCCACTGAAACCAAACGAACCCTTGTGACTCATCAAAGAACAAAAAGATTTTAACTGCATTCCTCCCCACCCCTGCTCCCATGAAGAAGAAACCTCCATGTGAATTCATCCCAGCAACTTGAACTCCTGGAGGAAGGGAATAAAAATCGCCAAGAAGAAACCGGGGCTACGTCTACACTAGAGAGCTTACAGCGGCACAGCTGTACCAATGCAGCCACTCTATGCCGACAGGAGAGAGCTCTCCCGCCAACATAATTAAACCACCCCCAACGAGTGGCATTGGTGGAAGAAGCTCTCCCGTCGGCAGCGCTGTGCACACTCCCACTTGTGCTGGCAAAACTTACGTCGCTCAGGGTGTTGCTTTTTTCATACCCTTGAGCGACATAAGTTTTGCCGTCATAAGTGGTAATGCAGACATGGCCTGGGTCTCTGTGCTGCTTGGACTTCAGAAAGGGCAAGATTTCTAAGCATAAGCAAGGGATCCCCAACTGCTTGGCCTGGGTTAGCCCTAGAGGACATCTAGAGCTTGCATATTACCACAGCTTCTAGTACCTTTGCGAACCTAAGACTGTCACTCATGTATGTGTGTACATTTACCTGCTTTAGCCTTGTAAATAACTCTCTCTTTTTCTCTTAGTTAATAAATCTTTAGATAGTTTATTATAGGATTGGGTACAAACATTGTCATTGGTGTAGGATCTAAAGTGCAATTGACCTGGG